CCGCGGGCAGGGGAGTCCATCGGTGTCGCATAGGGTGTTAGGACCTGTGGCTTCACGCCACAGTCAGGGCACACCTACACACACTATACTACTACAACCTACACACACACCTACACACACTAAACACATCACAATGGACATTACTCGTCAGGTAATGTCCTTCTTCTCCGCCCTAGGCCTCACCCTGGACGAGGCCGCCATCAGCGAGCTTGTCGCGAGAGCGCGCCCCTTGCGCGACTCTCCCGCCAGCCCCTCCCCCGAACCCCCCCGCCCCGACACCCCCTGCCTCCCCTCGAACTCGGGCAAGCGCCCCGCCTCGAGCCCGGTTTCGACATGCGACTCCGACTCGACCATAGTGTCGGCGTCCGATGACTCCGTGTTCACCACTGTGGTGAGCAAAAAGAAGAAGCGGCGCTCCAAGCGCCGTGCAGACACCGCGTCTCCAACGGCGCCCCTCTCGCCTTCCGCTCTCCTGTCCCAGACAGTTGATGAGCCCTCTGCCCCTCTCACCCCTCTCACGGTCGCCCAACCGACCACACAAACCCACCCAACACAGACAACACACAACACTACAAAACCATACAATAGGTGCACCGCCGCACCTATCAAGGCAAAGCCGCCGCCGCCCGTCTTCCTGCGCGATAAGGCGCAATGGGCGAAGGTCGCGGACCTTTGCAAAGCACACAACATTTACTACACACAGGCGTCGAACACTGGTCACACCATCAAAATCACTACACCCACCATTGACACGTTCAGGAGCCTCACAAGGCTTCTGACCACAAACAAACTCCCCTATCACACTTACGCTCTCCCCGAAGAGCGCAAAGTCCGCGCGGTACTCAGAGGAGTCCCCTTCGAGCTCTCCAACGAGCTCATTCTGAGCGACCTAACCGCTCCAGGCTTCCCAGCCGAGGCAGTGCACAAATTGCACAGCCGGACTGGGAAACAATACCCGTTGGCCCTTGTCATTTTGACCTCGGTCCCGGCAGCTAGGGATATTTTCAAAGGTCCCATTACAGTCTGTGGCCTCGACAATATCAAAGTCGAGGCCCCACACCGGCGAGGCACCCCTGGGCAATGCCACAGGTGCCAATTATATGGCCACGCAGCAGCCAACTGCTCGGCGGCCCCGAGGTGCGTCAAGTGCCTCGTACCCCTACCAAGGAGTGCACCCGCACTCGTGACGCACCCGGGGCACCCGCATGCGTGCTCTGTGGCCAAGAAGGCCACCCGGCCAATTACAGGGGTTGCCCGCGGGCCCCACGCCCCAGGCCCAACACTCACACTCACACACACACAAAGCCAACCACGGCGACAAAAATACACCCACCACCACCTAATAACACCACCACAAACTTCCCGGGGCTACCCAAGGCGACCGCCCCTCGCAGCCCGGCGCCCCCGACAGCCTGGGGACCAGCCAGGGCCCGCCCAAAACCACACCCACCACAACACACTACACCAACAACACAAGCTAAGCCAGCCCAAGACGTCTCTCTGGCCGAGGACATGGCGCTTATTCGCTCCTCGCTCAAGAGGGTGAATATCGCCGAGATCCACACTCTCGCCGCGAAGCTCCGGCTAGCAAAGACACCCCTTGAAAAGGCTATAGCTATAGCCGAACACCCCGAACTCGTTGCCGCGTTCGATTAATTTTTCAATCATTATAACACTGGAAAATAACCAGTCTCCGAACACAAACAAAAACACTATACACAAAACACGCGGTGATAACTCAAACAAACACCACTGTTGTTTAAATTATGACCGCGCAAAACACTAACATAACAATCACTCAACTAAACCCCGGGCGTACCAAGCCGAAAGGCGCTTCGCTTGTGTCATTTAATACGCGCAGCTTAAAGTCCAACCTTAACGAAATTAAATTATTTTTGCAAGATAGGGAACCCGACTTTCTGCTCCTTCAGGAGACTTGGCTCAAACCAACTCAAGTGAAGTGGCTGTCGATCCCTAAGTATAAATTAATCCGGAACGACGATGCCAACGCGCGCGGCGGCACCGCAATTTACTATAGACGCAATTTACACTGCACACCTATACCCACTCCCGCGCTCACAAACATGGAAGCCACCATCTGTAGGCTGGCGATGACAGGACACCAGTCCTTAATCATCGCCTCAGTCTACATTAGATCAGGTACACACCCTCACCGCGCAGACTTCGAAACACTCACTTCACTAGGTACATCAGTCATAATGTTCGGTGACTTTAACTCCAAACACACCGACTGGACATGCGAGACCACCACCACCTCTGGCCGCAGATTACTACACATCACCGAGGAGCTTGGCTATGATGTCATATGTCCCTACGCGCCCACCCACTACCCAGACAATGTACAAAACCGACCCGACGTCCTGGACTTCGCGATCCTTAAAAACGTGTCGCTTCGCCTCAGCTCGATCGAAACACTCGACGACCTGGGGTCGGATCACAGACCGGTGTCTCTAGTTCTAGGTCCCCAAGACCCACTAGACGCCCCCGCGCCCCCTAAGAGGCTATTCACCAACTGGGACGGATACCGCTCCGCTCTCGAGACCGCTTTAGACTCCCCCGAGTCCCCGTTCCCTAACTCACCGGACAGTCTCGACAGCACCGACAAGATTGACGAAACTATAGAGTCTTTAACTTTACTGGTGACCGAGAAGGCGAAGGAGAACTCGCGGGAGGTTGAGCTGCCAAAGCCCAAGCTCCCGCTGGCCATCCGGAACCTAATCCAAGCCAAAAACGCCGCTCTCCGGAGAGCCAAATTATACCCCACCCCCGAGTATAGGGCTACAGCTAATCGCCTTCAGCGACAAGTTAGGTCCCAATTAGCCGCTCTGAGACACTCCCGTTGGGAGGAACTCATGGCGGACATTACCCCATCCCATCTTGCGTACTATAGAATCGCGAAAGCGCTCCGTAGCGACGTCACCAATCACACCCCCCCGCTCACTCGCCCCGACGGCACCGTCGCCTTCGAAGACGACGAAAAATCTGAGTGTTTTGCAGACAGCATAGCGGCGCAATGCACGCCTAGTACGCAGGAAACTAACCCGCAACATATTCGCGGAGTGGAGGAGGAGGTCCGCCGGCGGGCCGCCCTTCCACTCATTGACAACCCCCTAGACCCCGTCACGACAGACGAACTCAGACAGACCATTAGAAACTTTAAGCAACGCAAGGCCCCGGGCGCCGACGGCATCTCTAACAAGGCGCTCAAGCACTTTCCCATCCAAATGCTAACCTTGCTTGCAATTCTCTTTAACGCATGTTTTGATCTGTGCTACTTCCCAGCCGCCTGGAAAGAAGCAATAGTGATAGGCATCCCCAAACCCGGAAAACCCGCGCACCTCCCCAGTAGCCATCGCCCTATTAGCCTCCTCAAGGCAATGGGGAAACTTTTCGAAAAGACTATACTGACCAGTCTAAGAGAGCACCTCCTATCACCATCCGATCCAATTATCATTGACCACCAATTCGGCTTCAGAGCCAAACACTCCTGCCCCCAACAGATCCATCGCATAGTGGAGCACGCCCTAAGCGGCTTCCAACTTAATAAATATAAAACTATTGCAGTCTTCTTCGACGTCGCCAAAGCCTTCGACAAGGTTTGGCACGACGGATTAATCTTTAAATTATATCAATTAAAATTACCTGACCGCCTAATTAGGTTAGTAGCCTCTTTTCTATCAAACCGCACCTTCCGCTATAGATACGAAGGTTCACTATCAACGCCCCGCCCACTACGAGCCGGTGTACCGCAGGGGTCCGCTCTCTCCCCCCTGCTATACACAGCGTACACCAATGACATCCCTCAGACCAAGGGTGTCGAGCTCGCTCTCTTCGCGGACGACACGGCCCTCTACTCTAGGGGAGCCAGTACCAATCAAATCATAGCCAAGCTCCAACCGGCAATCACAACACTTGGGAATTGGTTCCGCGATTGGAGAATCGACGTAAATCCGGACAAAAGTTCGGCCATTTGCTTCGATCCCAAGCGCCGCACCAAAACCATACAACACGGTGCGCGGTCTCTGCGAATGCAAGGCATAGCAATACCGTGGCACCGCACACTCAAATACCTAGGGATCACACTAGACAAAAAACTCACCTTCCGTGCACACATCACACGCGTAGTCGCGAACGCGCGCTTTTATATGAGCCGCCTCCACCCGATGCTCGGTAAATACAGCAAAATGTCACTTCGTAACAAGCGAACGCTTTACAAAGTTTGCATACGCCCGGTCCTCACTTACGCGTCACCAGTGTTCGCACACGCGGACGAAGCGATTTTGAACAAACTTCAAGTGCTTCAAAATCGCTTCTGCCGCATAGCCACAGGGGCCCCGTGGTACGTCCGCAACGCGGACCTCCACAGGGACCTTCAACTCGACACAATTCAAACACACCTCACAGAGTGCTCGGAACGGTTCTTCAAAGCTGCAGAAGAGCACTCTAACACACTCATTAGATCGGCGTCGGGATACGCTCCACACACTCCATCTCGATTCAGGCCCCGCAGGCCCAAACACGCACTCACAGCCACACACAATAAACTCACGCGCGATCTCGCGGCCCTCTTGGCCGCTGAGGATCCAACACCCGCGGTGAGTCCCCCCCCGCCCCCCCGACACAGAGAGGTTCGATTCCTCTCAGTCCCCTCCCGTTTCAAGTGCACATCTGAGTGCACTTGTCCTCTAAGCGCATTTTGCGTTATTTTAAACTATGCACTAGTTTAAACTAACGCAGCGCCGCATCATCCCCCTCTCGGGGGGTGATCGCTTCAGATGAAGCTTGTAAGGCCCTTCTGGCCATAAGCATGAATTAAGGGTGTTTTTTAGTCAGTAAGAGTCTGACATAACCTTACAGCCGGCTGTAGGGTATCCATGAGGATTTCTCACCCTCTCCCCCGCCTGGGAGGAAACAAAAAAAAAAAAAAAAAAAGTGTGTAACTGCTACTACCACATCGGCCTTTTTCCTATTGCGCTTACCTTAGAATACATTAAGCTCAATGGAAGACTCATTGCCGTCGACAGGATCCAAACGAACGCGATTTTGATTGTGACTCTTTTTCTTGTCTTATTCCTTCCAAACCTCATCGGGTAGCGGAGCGATAGATATCTGCAACAAAAACATTCAAATTCAAACTCATTTATTCAGTCTAGGCTGTTACAAGCTCTTGTGAAAATCAAACGCTACGCCATCGGTTCGTAAATCTACGGCGGGAGACCTTGTACTGAGAAGAACCGACAAGAAACTCAGCAAGGGCTATTTTTTTCTCCCTGTTTTGTTTCATACAGTGTCTTCAATAGAAAGATGACATCAAAAATTGAAAACATGTGTTGATATCAACTTCCATCACATTAATATTATTAAGTAACATAAGTTAAGTATAGCTAGGTACTAAATTTAGAAGTGGCGATTAAACAATTTTCAACCAAATTAGCAAAGTAAAACGACTTAGTCTATTATATTAAGCCCAAGGTGATTAATCATTTATGAAATCTTTAACAGCATAGTAACTTTTCTTAAGGAGACATGTTTTTATACACACTTTAAACTTATTAAAAGGTAAATTAAATATTTATTTTGGTATTTTATTATATTTACATATATCTTGACCCACAAATGAACCAAGGACCTTTTGGAGTCTCAATGGTGGCAATTTGAGTTTATCTTTATTTCTGGTATTGAAATTATATACATCATCGCGCCTCGTATATAAATTTATGTTCTGACGCATTATTTCCTATCAAGGAAGTTTCCATATTAAGATGAAAAGTACCTACCCAATTGCGAAATATGTCAACAAATTGAGGACATGCATTCGAGCGAAATTAAGTTTAAAGACTTATATTTATAACTAGATTTAAGAGTGAATTGGACACGGCCATCAGGGCCGCGGTACCATAACGGTCAGTGCATTCGCCCGGATAGCGAAGGGTACGGGTTCGGGTCCTGTCTGCTGCCCAGTCCGCGTGGGTTTTTTCTAGTAAAATTTTCTTTAGATGTAAAGATCTAGCAGTAAAATGCTTAAAATAAAAAAATATGTCTATAATTGCTATTTCTTCTTTTAAATGTTTAATACTTTTATTCATTTGACATTGTGAGTTACCTAGAATAAGAAGAGATGGCGTTGCCTTGCAGCCTAAGAAATACTAGAGAAAATTCGACATGGCCATCAGGGCCGCGGTAGCATAGTAGTCAAAGGAAGAGAAAATTATGAAGATTGGTCATTCGCCGTCAAGAATTTTCTGCTGTTAGAAGGCGTCGATATAGATGACATTTCACCATCTTTGAGTGAAACAGAACAAAGAAAAGCAAAAGCCAAACTTGTGATGACCGCAGATCCTTCGTTATATGTGCATATTAGAAATGAAAACACAATTACGACTGTATGGAATTGGTCAGTGCATTCGCCCGGATTGCGAAGGGTGCGGGTTCGAGTCCCGTCTGCTGCCTGGTCCACGTGGAATTTTTTTCTAGTTATATTTTCTTTAGATTTAAACATCAAGCAGTTACATGCTTTAAAAATAATAAAAATTATAACTATAATTGCTATTTCTTCTTTCAAATGTTTAATACTTGTAAAAGTATTCATTTGACATTGTGGGTTTACCTATAATGCGAAGAGATGGCGCTGCCTTGCAGCTTAAGAATAGCTAGAAGGAATTTCGACGCGGTCCGTGAGGGCCGCGGTAGCATAATTGGTCAGTGCATTCGCCCGGATTGCGAAGGGTGCGGGTTCGAGTCCCGTCTGCTGCCTGGTCCGCGTGGAATTTTTTTCTAGTTATATTTTCTTTAGATTTAAACATCAAGCAGTTAAATGCTTTAAAAATAATAAAAATTATAACTATAATTGCTATTTCTTCTTTCAAATGTTTAATACTTGTAAAAGTATTCATTTGACATTGTGGGTTTACCTATAATGCGAAGAGATGGCGCTGCCTTGCAGCTTAAGAATAGCTAGAAGGAATTTCGACGCGGTCCGTGAGGGCCGCGGTAGCATAATTGGTCAGTGCATTCGCCCGGATTGCGAAGGGTGCGGGTTCGAGTCCCGTCTGCTGCCTGGTCCGCGTGGAATTTTTTTCTAGTTATATTTTCTTTAGATTTAAACATCAAGCAGTTACATGCTTTAAAAATAATAAAAATTATAACTGTATGGAACAAGTTAAAGCAGTTATTCGATGACAAAGGATTCTCCAGAAAAATCAGTTTACTACGGACATTGATAAATATCCGTCTTGAAAACTGTGAGACGATGACAAATTATGTGTCTCAGATTGTGGAAACTGCTCAACGGTTGAAAAGTACAGGATTTGAAATCAATGAAGAATGGATCGGAACATTGCTTTTGGCGGGTCTGCCAGAAAAGTTTTCGCCCATGATAATGGCGATAGAACATTCTGGTTTAACCGTAAACTCTGACGTCATAAAAACGAAACTTCTCTATATGACTGGTGATGTTGGTAGCACTGGAGGTGAATCTGCATTCTGGTCGAGTAAACCAACGAGAAATAGCAAAACTGCAAGCAAGTCAAAACAAACATCAAATACGAACAAAACGTCAAAACTGTTAACTGCAAGTGGTAAATAAATAAAATGTTACAAGGTCACTATAAAAACCAATGCACTGAGAAAATAAAAGAAGCAGGTGCCTTTAATGTAGCTTTTCTGAATGGATAATTCTGCACAGAAGATTGGTATATAGACAGTGGCGCGAGTACACATATGACGACGAATCGAGAAAGTTTGTTTGAAATTCGAGAAGTACACGATATAAAAGAGATTGCTTAGTTGTTGCAAATATAATGTTAATGCCTGTAATGTGTACAGGTGATACACGAATTACGACGTGTGTGAAAGATTCTTAGATTGACATACCGGTGCGAAACATTTTGTGCATTCCTAACCTTACATCAAATCTATTATCAGTTAGCCAGTTGATTGCAAACAGAAACAAAGTATCATTTAACAAAAATGCTTGTTATATTCGTAACCAACAGAATGTGCTAATAGGAATAGCAAATCTACATAATGGAGTGTAAAAATTAAATACAGTGAAGTCAGAGAAGTTGCTTGAAGCAACGGCAGTTCACAACACGGATGCAAGGCAATGGCATAGAAGACTGGCACATATCAACAGCTGTGACCTGGAAAAAATGAAAAATGGAGCTGTAGAGGGAGTCACCTACAAAGAAAAGGCTGATATAACAAAAGCCAACTGTGAGGTGTGTTGTGAAGCAAAACAAGTTCGTTTACTATTCCCGTCTTCAAACCACAGAAGTGAAACATTGTTAGAAATTGTGTACTCAGATTTATGTGGTCCTATGGGGACAAAATCAATTGGGGGAGCAAAGTATTTCCTTTTTTTTTGTAGATGATGCTAGCCGAATGGCATTTGTTTATTTTTTGAAAGAAAAAAAACAAGTGTTATTGTTTTTCAAAGAATTTCTGAGTATGGTTGAAAAACAAACTGGAAACAAAGTTAAAAGTCTTAGAACAGATAATGGAGGAGAATATTGCTTACAACAGATGGAAACATTCTTGAAAGCATCAGGTATTGTCCATCAGAAAACTAACCCATATACACCAGAGCAGAATAGGACTGTGGTTGAACGTGCAAAATGTTTGCTCTTTGAGGCTGAGTTGAATAAGAATTTCTGGGCTGAGGCAGTGAATACGGCAGTATACCTAAAAAATAGGTCGCCGGCTTCTGGTCTAGGAGACGTGACACCATTTGAGAAATGGACAGGATACAAACCCGATCTCAGTCATGTAAGAGTGTTCGGAAGTCCTGTGATGGTGCATGTGCCCAAGATTAAGAGACAAAAATGGGATAGGAAAGCCGTTAAATCTATTTTGATTGGCTATCCAGAAAATACAAAAGGATATAGGTTATATAATCTTGAAACAAGAAAAGTTACTACTAGCCGAGATATAACTATAATGGAAAAGAAAGAAAAAGTAACTGAAATGGCTAACATTGTAGTACAAGAAAAAAATAATGAGCAGGATCAACTATCAGATAAAGAAAAAACAGTTGAAATGAATGATACTTTCTTGGATAAGAATGTATGAAGAAGAAGCACCCATAGTAAGCAGCAAGCGTGTCAGAAAACCAGTTGAGAGGTATGGTGTTACAAACCTCTGTCTTGTAGACGAGTTGGGAACTTGCGACGAAGAAATCACTTATGAGGAGGCGATAAACGGTGCTGAAAGTGAGATGTGGAAACAGGCTATGAAAGAAGAGTTAAAAGCTTTCGAAGAAAACCAAGCCTGGGAAGTGGTAACTGACAAGGAAGCAGATAGAGTGGTTAAATGCAAGTGGGTTTTCAAAAGAAAGTTTGAAAGTGATAATAAAGTGAGATATAGGGCTCGTTTAGTCGCTAAGGGCTTTACCCAAGTTGAAGGTGTGGACTTAGAAACGTACTCACCTGTGTTAAGACACTCAACTTTGAGAATGTTATTTGCTTTAAGTGTAAAGTTAAATTTCGAACTTACTCATCTTGATGTAAACACTGCATTTTTAAATGGCTACCTTGAAAAAACAGTATATATGCCAGTACCACCTAATTTAGAATGTCAGAGTAACAGTGTACTCAAATTAAAACGTGCCATTTATGGTCTTAAGCAATCTGCAAGACAGTGGAATAAGAGAGTAGATGATTGTTTGTTAAGCCAGGGCTATATTAAGTCTAAATTGGAACCATGTTTATATAGTAAAAAGGTAAATAAGGAACAAATTGTAATAACTGTCTTTGTTGATGATTTTTTTATATTTTCCAGTAGCAAGGCATTGACAGATGAACTGAAACGTAGTTTAATGTCAAAATTCAAAGATTTAGGAAAAAATACTTAGGTATGAGAGTAAAAATATATAAAAATGGTTATATATCATTGGATCAGGAGCATTTTGTTGAACATATTTTAAATAAGTTTAAGATGTCAAATTGTAATGTTGTTGATACTCCCATTGAATGTAATTTGAAGTTGGAAAAGTCAGAGAATGTTTGTTAACAATATCCTTATCAGCAGCTGATAGGAAGTCTTATGTATTTGTCCATACTTACACGCCCAGATATCAGTTACAGTGTCAGCTATTTAAGTCAATTTAACAA